TTCACTCCTGGCGCTGATGAAACGGAGACAAGACCTCGTCTAAGTGGGTCTTTTGCTTGCGCTAAGTGACGCTGAATACCATCTAGACCTCGTCAGTCTTTCAAGTAGTCATGGCGAATTTGGAAGGCTAACACCTTTCTCATAATCATTGGCTTCTGTGTCTTCTGCGATTGTTAACGACGAAGTAGGGGGAATGAAAGGCATCTGAAGAAAGTGAAATACTGGCTCTTTCCCTTCTCTCTCTACCACTCTATCTCTCCCTCTCTCTCGCTCCCCTCCCCTACCCCCTCTCTATCTCTCGCTTTTTCTCATTTGTTTTCTTCTTAAACATGTGTTTGAGGTGGGATGAGGAGACAAGATTGGTGAACACGAGGGAATCAGTCGGATGGTAAAATGGACGGATGTGGAAGGAAGATGATCCGACACCTTGAATGAAATATCAGTGTGTCGAAGTTGAGCGACCTCCAGGTTGATGGAGGGGAGGTAGGCATACCACATTTAAAAAGTTCACAGGCACGCTGAATGGAAATGATGCGGGAGGAGATGACCAGCGGCATTGAGGAATCGGACTACGTGAGGCCTATCGAACGAGCCGTGGAAAAAAGCTCAACCTGCAGCCGTGGAAACTTTCCAGTCCACATGGCATGGTGACAAACACCCTTTAAATGTCATCGTGACTGGAGCACTGACCTATTTTCACAGGGAGGGACTTTGGCCACCTGGCCACTTGTCTGACTTAAAGCTTTCACGTTTTTGGGTGTTGGGGCACTGCACCACACTTTGCAGTGATTGATGATGAGCCTTGGTGGGAGAGGATTTCTAGAAGCCCCTTCAAAATGAGTCGCTTAAGAGGCGGAATGATAGACCGAAAGGGAGGGCATATTTTGTTTGGTCATGTCATGTCACCCATTGTACATCCGTGAGAGACAAAGTGTATGCCACCTTAGTAGAGTGGTGGTTTGCGGTCTAAAATTCCTTTTACTCAATTTCCTTTACTCAAACAGGTTGAATTTACGGACCAGTGAAAGTGGTGAATCAACACCGCCTCCGTCTTCCCCTACATCATCGTCATCATCACCACCATCTCCCTTGGTCTCTCACAGACACTTCTTTCAAAAACCCCATCAAGAGGCGCCATTTTATCGCT